TCCCCCTTATTCCCAGGACTCATTTTTTGCAAAAACGAACACTTTTCAAATTGTACCTCGTTACCGTATAATAGGTACTGGCCTGATGAGAATTTATCAAAAGTTCACGTATGCCCGCCAACTACCTCCTTAAATTCTCTGATGAGAATTTGCGCAACGATAAATATTGCCCAACAGCATGTCCTTCTATCATATAATATGACTTCTTGCTCCTCATAATTTTCAGCATGCTTTAGTCTTTTGATGGCCATGGACTCTTTCAGAGATCAAGAAACTTGAAACAGAATGGGTTTGCTTTTTCGTTTTACTATCGACCAATTAGGCCTCTTTTATTTTCTCAACTTTTTGTTTAAGTGAAATATCCGGAGTATTTCCAACAGAAAACTGATTACCGAAGCCCTGCGCATTGCACACAAACTGAAAAAAATGTTTCATATTCTCTTTGTCTTTACGCCCACCTTCATATTAATATAATTTATTTTCACCTTTGACAGATAGTGACATTCACTTAGAAATTAATTTCATAAAAATCCCTACAAATTCTCTGAAGAAACTAAGAACTTTTTCCTCAGTCAGCCCTGAACCTTTTATCCTACTCTAAAACCGGCTAAACTAAACTTGACAAAACATTGTGGCCTCGATGTAATGAATGCAAAAAGAATGTAATTGTTGATCTTCTGAATTATGGTTGGGATGTGGGAACGTGGCATTTTATGTTTCTTATAATTCATAACTAAGACGACTAGCTTCAAACCTGATACCTATTTGCATTACTGGGATTGACGAGACTATTATCAAGGGCAAGATATCTATAAATATGATAATTTTTGACTAATTGCATAAAAATTCGAAGTAAACAGCTTTTTACTAAGTGCCTTGTATTGGAAATGTTCCGGAGTATATAGCGATGAGGCCTTATTTTATGGAGTATGAAATAACAGGAACTCTATAAAAGTCAGTATTGTTCTTAAATTCTTGGTCGCAAGTTCCGAACCAAGTAATCATATGGACAGTCGTACTCATTATTTTTATCAGTTAATTTTCTTATAGCCCATTCTCTTTTGCGCTCACTGCACAAATGTAAAACACTTTAGGGTTTATGATCTTATCCCTGTGTCTGTGGATATATTCGGCAGTACATATACAGCAATGCACTTTCCACGCAAGATAGTAGGCCCCCATTCTTACAAAACATGTTATGCTAAAGCGCAGAGTAATACAGAAAGATTGAGTAGTTGGAGAGTAAAAACGAATTATTTTAGGGTAAACTTTAGTACTAAGATTAGCGTCAGATTAAGGAGCATTGGATTTGGCATGACGTTTAAGAGTCTTGGTTGTATGTCTTAGGATAAGGTTTCAAGTACTGGCACAGAAACCTTATCCTCTAGAGATTAGCGCATGTCTGTCTGCTGTGCGAGGGTGCATATTTTTGTGTCTGACGCCAAGATGTCAGAATTGTTTAGTTATTGTGCCTCATTAAAGGTAATCTGCTCGATTTTACTCTCGAAAGATAAGGAGTCTTACCTGATTTTTTAATTTCGGGATGACTGGCATTGCGAGCGTTGTACATGCTAACGATCTCAAACTCGTCCATAGCCGCTTCATAATCTCGTACAGTGTCATTGTACCCTTTGGGATCGGTACCTGTCAGAATCTGAAGAAAATGGCAAAATATAGTTAAAGGTTTAATCTGCTAATTGAACCAAAGTTCTGTCAAGGTAAAATAGGAAATGAGACCCTGAATTTCGGGAGGGCAAGTGACAGTACCAGGATGCCCCAAATGGAATACAATTGTATTTAGAATACAAAATGCAGATAAGATTAAGTATGAATTGCAGAATCATTGGACTTTAGTTTGTTTACGCAGATTCTCTATTCCGCAGCCAAAAAAACCTCAGTTTTTTTGAAAAATCAATTTAATATTTTGCCTATAACAATCGAAAGGTTCTATTTTCATTCTAAAGCTGGCCTTAAAAGCGCATTAGGATATTTTCCTTCTCTGGATAAATATTGAGTAGGGTTTCGGTTACAATCTTCTCGAGCGGGTGATATATTGTAAACATTGTAAATCACGTGAAGAAATATCCTGCTACTATGTTGCAGCAAAAGTTCTGCAGCGCTTGCAATGAGCGTTATTTTTATACGTGCTTTTTTATATTACTGTCCATATTTACACGTATAATTAAGCCTTTGTTAATTCTTTACAGTACTCCAACGTCAATTTTTTTCTTATAGCTCAGAAACCTTTGAATGAAACCGAGCTTCGTATCCGTATTCGTTATTGCTCAAAACGAGGACTTTCGAGTAGGGAAACTGCAAACGGCATCCTTGATGCCGAGGGCAAACGAGCCGACCAGGATGCAATTAGTTCATCTTGGTATAAACGTCTTAATGCCGGCGAAGACCCACTAAGATCCGGTCAACCCTCAGAATTATACAATAAGGATTTATTTTCAGTCATAAACATAAACTGTCATCGAGCAGTCGCAATTCGGGAGCAGTACATGGAGTCCATCAGAAAAACAGTTGGGAGACACTTCCATAAACTTTACTTTGTTCGAAGGAAGCAGTACACTGTACGATTAAAAGTTGTAACCGTATGTATTAACTGTGTCTTAACAGTAGAGAAGGCTCGGCACCTCTTATCGTTAATCTCCAAGATACTATCCAATCAGGCATGACCAATGGAGCATGTACATTTTGATGAAACATGGCTGTCAAAAA